TGTTGACGTTGAGGTCGACGTTGAAGTCTGTGGACTTGTAGTTGTCGACGTTGAAGTCAATGGGCTAGTAGTTGTTGAAGTTGATGTTATTGTGCTGGAGGTTGTTGACGTTGAGGTCGTCGTTGAAGTCTGTGGGCTAGTAGTTGTCGACGTTGAAGATGTTGTAGTAGTTGTAGATTTCGGAACCGCTGTCGTGGTAGTTCTAGACTGACAATTTACTGATTCTAAAGACGCACAGTCGTTTATAGAAATGTCAAATGCTTGTCCTTCCGGACAATTTTTCAGAGTAGGATACCACCACCACAAGAATGGGACACATTCATAATACTGATAGCAGTTTTGTGAAGGATGTTTGCTAGAACCATAACATGGCGGTGCAGTTATTGGTGCATTTGTCGTTGTTGTAGCGATAGCTGTTGTTGGTGCTTTAGTCGTAGTAGTTGGAATTTCAGTAGTTGTACTTGAAGTAACAGTTTTAGTTGTAGGAGTTTGTGATGTTGATGTCGATGTTTCAGTTGTTGTTGTCGGAGTCAGAGTAGTTGTTGTTGTCGAACTTGTTGGTGAAACAGATGTCTTTATTCTTGTTGAGCAATCAACTGTTGAGGACCAAGCACACTCTTCCAAATAAATATCAAAAGCTTGTCCAGTTGGACAACTCTTTAGTTCTGGTGCATAATACGATGACATGACGAGTATACATTCAAAATATTCATAACAGGATTCTGATGGATATTTACCCTCCGATGTACATGTTGGAACCGTAACTGAAAAGAAGTAATAAGTATTCAAGTTGTTCAAAAGGTTTTTTTTTGACATACTTGGTGCTACTGAAGTGTATGTTGACGAAACAACACATCTAGCAAAAAAACATAACCATTCATTTAAAAAATTTTAGTTTAATAAACACAAACTTACTCAGCAGAACCTTTAGAATCATCACAAATTTGTCCATTAGGACAAGACATCGGATTACCAACTAAATAAAATTGCCCTCCAATACTCTGACATTCCCTAAAATGTTTAG